GTGGTAGGATATGGTAATTATATGGCCCAGGGCTGGAGGAGCAAAGCCCTTTCAACCTCAGGGCAGGCCCTAAGAGGCTTGCTGCTGCAAATCTCAGTGCAAGTTAAAATGCATGAGTCAAGATTTTAGTACGATTATTTTCAGTATGAAGACTCATGGTAGAAAGTGAAAAGCTTTCAGATATACTGGGGAAACCATATTTGGAAAAAAAATAAAGAAGAAGTGAAAGAAAACATTAAAGTGTAAGTACTGCACATACATTACGAAGATATTATGGGACTAGACAAATAATAGATAAACTCTCTACCAGATGCAAATCAGCAGCTAGAAGATAACAAAGGAAAAACTATTGTTGTCTCAGGCAAACTGGAAACTCCATTTGGAAAGGGCAAGTTCTCAGTCTCAGTCATACCTGTCTGTATGACTCTCCTACTGTGCTGGGGTTGTGTTGTGTTGATGGGAAGAGGATCAGAATCTGATTTCAGAGGTGGGTAGTATGTTATGGCCATTATGTATTCCTTCTCAGCCCCTTTTAATGCTTTCTATTCAGAGAACATTTAGCTATTAGTTTATACGTATTTGCTTACAAATATTTATCAGCTCTCAAAATTTGTCTTTAATGTAAAAAAGGAATAGCTACACAAAGCAGAGTAAGAATCTATAGTGTATGCATTATTGCCTTTGCTTCTAGTCTTGTAGTAAATCAAGTGTTTTAAGTTAAAATAAGGAGAAGAAAAATTATGCATACTTATGGTTTCTGAGTTCTTTTGATACCTTTTAGAAGTGGATACTAATGTAACATCAGTTTTTGTCTACCTAACTTAGTCTTAAACCAAGAATGGGGAAATTCTCTTATAATGTTGTCTGGGACCTGAAAACACTTCTATATCTGAGGTACAGCATCAATGAGAAAGTGAATGATTCATTAATGGAGAAATTTCTAGGTGCACTTTGAATAATCTCAGGAATTTTCAGTGACTTTCATAAACTTTGTTTCTAAAACATAACTGCCTCAGCACTTACAATTTTAGAGATGAAATGGGGTTAGAACTATTATCTATTTTCTACCTAAGCTCAGTAACAGCTAGTAAGTGGCAAAAATATTCTTTTTTGGGGGGGAGGCGTGGCAAAAATATTCTTTTTTGGGGGGGAGGCGGTACTGGGGATTAAACTCAGGGGCACTCAACCACTGAGCCACATCCCCAGACCTATTTTGTATTTTATTTAGAGAGAGAGTGTCACTGAGTTGCTTATTGCCTTAATTTGCAGAGATTGACTTTGAACTTGGGATCCTCCTGCCTCAGCCTCCTGAGCCACTGGCATTACAGGTGTGTGCAGATGTGCCTGGCCAAGTGTATTCTTCTTTACTAGTGGAAAACTGTCTTAATTATTACAATATAAAACATAATATTGCCCCTCATCTATTCTACTTGAATTAATAAATTATAAGAAGTTAGTATGGAGACGATTTTGTAGTTGTTTCTTATATTTTGAAAAATGAAGACTGACAAACATTATCATTTATTGGGTTTGGAAAGATGGGATTTGTAGGAAATTTGTTTATTTTTAGAAAGTATTTCAGAGATGGTTTCTGAAAAATGTGTAATCACTAACTTTAACACACAAACATAATGCTTCACCTCTTTTTCTTTTCTTCTCTTCCTTTTGCTTGTTTCTTTATTCTTCCTCTTTCCTCCCTGTCTGTCCCTCTCCC